GCTCTGGGGCGCGGCGGCGGCCGCGGGGGGCTGTGGAATCCCCGGGACGAGGGCGGTGGCCGGGTGTCACTCTTGACTGTCAGAGCACAAAGACCTCCCCAAAAATCGCCTTCCCCGCTCCCCGYCTCGTCAGCGTTAGGGCGGTTGTTGTGCCAGGACGCCACACGSCCTCTGAGGTGGTTGTGGAGACCCAGACCGTCTCTGGAAGATGCTCGCATCTTGCCCACCCCTTTGTCAAAGGTGCRTGATGGGGAGGCTCAAAAGGTGAGGAGGTGACTGTAGAAAGTCCCAGATTTTGCCTCCAGATGCGATAGTGGAATCAGAGGAAATGTTAAGTGCCGTTTCTCTTGCCCTTTGCCAGCTGGCGCAGGGAGAGGTGCGTGTTTCTGGCAGGTTACATCCCTGGGGAGGGGGTATCAGTTGAGCTTTACTGCCTGGATAATGCTGAAATTGGTGTTTTCATGCCATAAAAAGCATCGTGTTGTGCCAGAGACTGTCCAAACACAGGTGAGGGCCTGTTTCCTACGTGAGTTTTAAAATTGGAGCTTTTGCCTGCTGGAAACTGCTGATCCAGCCCCTTGCTGCTCTCTTGGAAACTGTAAATATTTGGTATTTTATTGGCACAACCCTTCCGGCCTTGAATGCTTACCCAGCCCTCCCCTGCCACTGGACTGAGCCAAGGGAACAYGCACGAACAAGACCCATCCGAAGCCTGGGAGCTTGGGATGCCTGCTGGGACCCTGCTGTGTTCTCCTGAGACACGCATTAAAAGCAGTAAAGTCCTAAACCAGCCCCTCAGTACCCGCTGYTAAACTGGTGAGAATCCGCTTATTATGGTCAAGAGGAGTCTGGTTTGCTTCTGTGGATTGCTCAGGCTTTGTGTGAGCCAGAAGGAAAACAAAATCTGAGGCTCAGAGTAGTTGAAAGAAAGCAGGATTAAAATAGCCCGGGAGGGACAGAGGGGGGTGAGGGAGTTTGGTGCCGGCAACTGCAAGTGCTCCTTGTTTCTCTGTACTTTCCTCTGCCCTTTTGCTCTCTCAGCTGACTGGGCTGCAGAGCYGAGCCAGGAGGAGGAGGAGGAGGCCTGGCAGCCCCCGCAGTTGCTTTGGGTCAGGGCTGGAATTGCTCTGTTGGAGAAAGTAAATACGGCTTGTTTTTGTCTTTGAATCATTACACAACAGGAGCAGGAAGCGATTGTTTACAATGCAGTTGGATATGGCTGGTGGAAAACATCACCAGTGATTCTGTGCCCTCAGAATGCTTAATTTTTAAGGCTTCAAAACTTTACAGAAATGGAACGGTTCCAGAAAAGCAGCGAAAAGGCAGAGTCAGGGCTATGGCTGTTTACAAAAGGCACCCAGGCTCCAGTTTCACTGCAAGTGGCTGCCTTAGCTCTTGCGCTGCTGCTCCTCGTTGAAGAWTCTGCTTTCCTCAATGCTTGTTTCCTCCCTTCTTGTATTTTTGAATTTTTTCCATGAATTTCTTACGCTTGTTCATCTGCTGGGTCTTGGGTCTCTCTTGAATGAAATTTCCTGATTTCTCTTCATCGTTTCTCTTCATCGTTTCTCTTCATCGAGGACTTGAGAAGAGGACTGGCTGGTAAACTCCAGGGGTTTGATCTGGGGTGTGTGGAGAGCATGGAGCAGTGACTCCTCCCAGGATCTGAGGTGCTGTCCCTGATGGGAMCCTTGGCAGCACAACATCCTTGGTGTGGGTGCAGGGGGTGAAATGTGTCAGCACCCTCTACATCCATGTGCTGAGCCCAGGCACTGAGGCGTGTTTAGATCCGTTGCAGAGTCCACAACAATTCCCAGAACAAAGCTGTGGTTTGTGTCAGAGGAACAGGCTGTCCTGGCAGCAGTGGGAGCGTGCCTGACGACAGCGCTGCACTTCCTGAGAGGAGCAGGAGTCCTTGGGAGCATTGTCCCAGTGCTCCTGAAGCKGGGTTGGATCGGGCTGGCAGCAGCTCCAGCTGTGTTCTCAGAGCAGCAGCACATGACCAGTGTGGACATGGACCGGCCGAATAACCCCAGGCTCCTGTGCCCCGGTGCCCGGCCCAAACCGAGTCACAAACACACCTCTGAGTGTCCTCTGGCTGAGCTGGAGCCCCTGGCTTACTGACAGACACCAAGGCTTGACCTCAGCCTCTGTGGACAGAGTGTTCCCGTCCCAGGTTGCATCCTCTGGGAGCTCTGCGCTCAGTTGTGGGAAACCACTCCTCTTGAGAGGAAAGGCCGTGGTGGGTGTGGGGCTGAGTCCCCTGTTGGCTCTGGGGAGCTCCCTGGGGACTCATCCTGTGTGATCCAGCCATGCCTGTACCCACTGAGAGATCAGCAGTGGCTGAGCTCTCAACTTCACAACCATCCTATGCTTGTCACAACAGTTGTTGCTCATTGGTGGCTTGGAAAACATCTGGATATCAATGTGAGGTTGGTCCGTGAGCCCTCACTGGTCCTTGGCTGSTCCTCAGGGTGTCTGTGTTCTGGCAGTTGTGCTCTGGGAGCTGGGATTCCTTGAGAGGAGGGTGCTGCTCCAAGCTGCCTGTGTCTTGGATTAATTACAKAGGACATTCTGTGACTTGACTGGATGTGGGGTTAATTATCAGTGTTGGAGAACTAAACAGGCTTCCAGAATGAATGCCAGCCTGACATGTAGACCACAAATTTTGATTTTTTTATTATTCTKCTTTGAGATAACACAAAGTCCTGACTGGCAGCCAGGAATAATAAAACCTGTGTGTTTTGTTCATTACTTAATGTTTTGGTTTTTTTCACTACTAAAACTTCAGATGTTCCCTTGAGCCAGAAGGGTGGAGCCTGGTTAATCCAGAGGCTGTCAGGGTGGTAGGACCTTGCTGCTTCTGTCATGAAGTAGCCATGAGCCATGGATAAGTCATGTCCCTTGGCCTTGGTGCTCCGCCATGGTCAGTCCCAGTGGGGATGACGGTCAGGAGGGTCCCTCGGGAGGTTTCACTGTGTGTCACCTGCCCGTGTGACRTTCTGTGGTTGATGGGTGGCGTGTAAACACCACCAGCTCTGTGTCACGCTGTTGTTTGCTGCCTTTTGTCCTCAGAAGGTGGTTTGGAGAGAAGCTGGGAGAGAAAATGCAGGAATGAACTCAAGACTGGTGTGTGGCACGTGTCCCTGAAGCACCTGTGCATGTCCAGGCGTGTTTGTGCACAAACAGCAGTGGCCTGGGCTGGGGAGAGGCTCTCAGAGCACACACGAGCACGGGGGGCTGCACCAAAATACCGTCCTGCCGGGAGTGCCAGGTCTTTCTTTGAGCAGTTTGAAGTGTCCTGAGTCGTTCTGAGAAATCTGAGTGTGTTCTGCTGTCTTGGAGGTTTACAGAAGGTCAGGCAGCAGCTGGAGGGAAATCCTGGCACGGCAGTCTCCTGAGGGCTTGTACGGAGGGAACTTGCTGTTCCTTTACACAGGGATAGTGAAACTGTGATTAATGTTGAGCAAAAAACCACACACGGTTCCTTATCTGGAGCTGTGATGTGAATGCTCTGTTTGCCATTCAGAGGTTACACAGAAGGTGCTGCCCCTTTGTCCCCCGTGCTCAGGGGCTGCAGTGAATTTTAAGGTGTTTGGATAATGGAAGGTGCAGTGCTCATCCTGCTCAGTCTGTGGTAGGGGTGGGTCCCAGAGTGGTTTTGTTTGGAAGGGATCCTAAAGCTCATCCCATCCCACCCCCTGCCATGGCAGGGACACCTTCCACTGTCCCAGGCTGCTCCCAGCCCCGTCCAGCCTGGCCTTGGGCACTGCCAGGGATCCAGGGGCAGCCACAGCTTCTCTGGGCACCCTGTGCCAGGGCCTTCCCACCCTCACAGGGAACAATTCCTTCCCAATATCCCATCCATCCCTGCCCTCTGGCAGTTTAATGCCATTCCCATTTGTCGTGTCACTCCAGTGGTATTGTACAACCAGAAGACAAGTGTCTTGACATGAATTTAGAGTCCACAGTTGTGGTGTGGCTCTGTTTGGTCATGAGCTGAGCCCTTATCATGATTTGCCAGATGCAAGTGCTCGTTCCTAGAGCCAGGCTGTCAATCATACTGCTGGTATATTTTTAAACTGCTGAGAAAAATGAAGGTRTTTCCTTTTTGTGTTTTAAAATCCATTTTCAAGCTCTACTCTGGAGCCAGGAAGATGGAGAACTTTTGCAAATGAAGGCTGCTGAGATCCACAGGGCCCCAGGAGCCTGGCATTCAGAAATGCTGCCAGGCTCTGCACATCTGGCAATGCAGCTGTAGGGGTGGGATGGAGAGTCGTGGAGACAAAACATCCACTGCTGCACATTCACGTTGGTGACACCTTCCAGGGACATTGGAGCTCTAGGCTCCACCCATACCATGGTGCAGAGACACATTTTCTATCAGTTCAAAGCTTTTCAGTTCACAGCAATGTGGGTTTGATCCTGAGTCATTCATCCGGTCCGGAGCACCCAGCTCTGCAGACAGAAGAATRAAATAAACCTGACAGTCACAAGCACTGTCAGGTCTCTGCAGGACTGCTGTGCCATGGAGCCTGGGACAAGCACCCTTTCCTGGTGCTGAGGACACCTGCCCTGGGCACAACCTCCTTCTTTCCTGGGTGAGGGAATCTCCTCTCGCTCCTCTCCCAGTGCCAGTGCCTGAGAGGGAGCACTGGGCAAGGACGGGTCAGGTCAGGTGCTGGGTAAGCCATGACACATCCATGGGGGTGTTTCCTGGTGGTTGGAGGTGTCTGGCCCTAGGGTGGTGTGATATTACAGAAATAGTCATTGATGTTGGTCTGGAATGACCTGTGTAACTGGCCTGTGTCTGCAGCACCTGCCAGCTCATTCCACACRTATCCTCATTTCAAACCATCCAAGTCCTCCTCTCCTTGCAGAAAATCTCTTGGAGAGAAGTCCATGCTCCAGCAGCCCTCAGCCCTGGGACGGACCACAGCAGCTTCTTGAAGAAACATGTTCGTTTTTGCCTCTGCTTCAAATGCGAGGCAGAGCCCTCCACAGCTGGCAGCAGGGTTTGGTGAGGATGGCAGGGAGAAGCCACAGGGCCAGCAGCCTGCTGGAGGTGCCAGAGATGTTTGTCCACTCCGGAGCTGTGGGGCACAGGGAGAGCCAATAGCTCATGGCTGCATTTCTGGTCTCTGCTTTGCTCTCTGCACGCAGCCCTTGCTCAGCTCAGGAGCTGTGTGTTTGGTAGCACATTTCCAGGTGTTGTTTGCTCTTGCTGGTGTTTCCCTCACAGCATTCCCGCTGGTCACAGGCAGCAGGGCCTCTCCCCATGCTCCATCTGCTGCCCCGGGGCAGCACCAGTGCCTGACCAGTGCTTGTCTGGTGTCTCCTGAAAAATGGTGCCCCTTATGCAACGGCGCTGCTGGAGGACTTGCYGTGTGTTTTCCGTCTGTCCCACCATCTGTATCTTTTGTCTGCTGAGGCTCTTTTGCATCCAGGACTGTCCTTTCATCCCCGTGTCTGCACAGCGCCCAGCACAGCAGGGACCTGGCTCCAGTGGCCAGGGTTCCTGGGCACTGCTGATAAAAAAGGTTGATGTTTGCAAAGTGTGGTTTAAAATTTTCCACTGTTCTCCTCAACTGCCATAATGATCTCATCCTGCATTGCCATGGGATACACCGTGTGCTCGCATCTTTTGGAGCACAGCTTGGGAAGGACCTCAGTCAAGAAAACAGCCAAGATTCTGGTGTTTTGGGCAATTTGCAAGATTTGCTGTTGRTACTTAACAGCTGAAATAGCAGTTGGGGGAGAAATAGGCAATTTCCTGGCATATGCAATGCTACAAAAATACTCCTATCTTTCAATAGGCCCTAGCAGAGRAATTTCCCTGGGAATAACCAATAAAATCGTGTGGTTTTTATCTCGCTGCCATCTTGAGCTCTGACAGCCTGGCACTGGGGAGAAGCCTGGMTTCCCTCATGGCAGAGGTGGGGTGCCCACAGCTGGAGCAGGGATGGGGCTCTTCTCTCTCCTGCAGGTTATCACTCTTTGCTCAGCCTCTCCTGTGTAGAGCCCCTGGGCTGCTGCAGTCAGTCAGGTGTGGTGTTCTGCTCCCCTGGCAGCGAGGAGGGACCAGAGGAGCAGAATGTGGATCGGGACAAGGCTGTGGAAACACCTCTGGTGTGCTCTGCACATTGGCTGAGGATTAACAAGGTGCTGCAGGAAAGGGGAAAGTCTGAACTTCAGCGCAGCTGTAATTTGGGAGAGCTGCAGGAGGAGAATGAAACTTGTAAAMTCAGGCCTGTTGTGTATGAAATGTGGGTGTGCAGACACTGCAGGTGCCAGGACAGGGGGATCCTGCCTGTCCTCAGCACTGTGTGAGCTGGGGCTCAGGTGCCAGGTTGGCACCTCCAGCCAGGTCTCTCTGAAGTGCCCTTTAACTGTTTTCTCTGAATTCCTGTGACTTAGATTAGGCTGTACGGACACTAAATTAAGGCTGGTATTTATAGCCATTCCTGCTGTGTGATGTTGATGCCTTCATGAGTCACAGGCTCAACCTCTCGCTCCCAGCCCAGGCTGAGGAGGGTGGGGGTGACCATCACTATCTCTTGCTGGAGACCTCTTGTGCCTCAACTCTCATGTGCACAGAAGATTTCCAGGGACTGATGCAGCTTCTGATTCCCAATCCTGCTTCCTTGGTTTTCTAAGGCTAGGATGTGTGGGCTCTTGAGCAGAGCTTTCCAGGTGTGCTGGAAACTTCTGTACATTCAGGAACCTGAGCACCTTAGATGGTGTTGCTCCCAACTGCCTTTTTTAAGGAATTTTCTGAAATGGGCGCTTCCAGGGCAGAGGAAGGAGTGCAGTGCTTGAGGTGTTTGTGGTTGCAATCACAGGGACCTGCTGCAGGGATCCMGCAGCCCCTGGAGCAGAGCAGCACTGCTGTCATTTCACTGGGGTAAGCTGCACATCAGTCCCCTGCCACAGGGTGCCCCGGGGTTAGGGAGGCTGGGAATGCCCTGGGTYCTGCTGGCCAGAGGGAGAAGGTGCTGGGCATGTGGCAGGTTCTGAAGGACAGGGGAGCTTCCACTGTGGCCCAGCAGATGTGAGGGTAGCTGAGAGCTCTGTCACTGGTGTCCCTTGATTCCTGCTGAGCGTGGAGTCAGCAACATCTGGGAGAAGCGTCCTGCAGCAGCCGCCTCTGTCCGAGGCACCTCGTCTGCTCCCCTTGGGTGGGATCCTGAGGCACTGCAGTGCAGCTGGAGTGATGATGGGCCCTTTTCATCTCTGTGTGACACCTTTTTCAATGTGATGGGCAGGAGGCACCTCTGTTTCCTCTGTGCAAATGAAGGTGGTGATGRSTCWTGTCATCTCCTTGTGCTGAAGCTGKTGATGCYTCAGGGAGCAGGAGGGGGTGTCCAGCATGGGGCTGMCCCTTGGCACACACAGCCTGGGCTGGGTGGATGCTCTGAGGTTGTCTGCATTTACCAGCCATGATCACATCCCTTCAGCAATCCCTTCTCACAATTAGCTGTGTTGTTGGGGCTTCCCCTGCAAACAGCCCTGTGCCCTTGCAGGGCAGTGCATGGTGCTTGGGAAGCTCATCCACACGGCCATCTCATAGTGTGGAGAGAGAAACAGGCTAGGGTGGACACTGAAGCTGGGACAACTGGCCAGCCATGAGGACACAGCTCTGCAGGCTCTGTTAACACCCGGGAGTCTGAGCTGGCTGGAATTTCTATGCTGWTAAGCATTGTCCTGTTGAGCTCTGCATCTCCAGCCTCTTGGATACTCCATCCTGGACATGGTGAACACATGGGAACAGGGTTTGTGGGAGGGGGCAGGTGCTTCTGCTCCATCTGGGGGCTGTAGGTTGGGTGCTGGGTGCTGTGGGTTGGGTGCTGGTGCTGCTGTCACTGTGCCCTTCAGCATTCCCGGGAGGTGTCCCTGTGCCAGTGTCACGTGCGGTGCTGATGTCTGTGTGACTCCCTGGCTGATTGGTAGCTCAGGGGAAAATTGTCTGTATCACAAGGATGACTCTGAATCCCTGGAGTGCTGGCTTGGGTGAAAAGGAAACGTGAGGAGCTGCATCTTCAGTCATGAAACCCAAAACAATTATGCCTGAATTTTCCATGAAATCCAARTAATCTTGCTCTGTGTTGCTCACCCATGCAGTTCTACAGTCTAACAATTCCTAGCAGAGGAGTATTTTCCTCTCAGAGGAGGCAGAAATGGTGCTCAAAACCTTCTGTGATCTGGTGATTTTGTAGTCTTGTGGCCTTTAAAGAAACTCCGGTCTCTTACCAATGTTATATCTAGCCAAATTCAAGATATAAGTAATAAGGTTTTAGCGAGTGCTCAGAGGAGAAATTCTAAACGTTTGAGGGGGAAAAACACTCACACTCATGTACTTATCCTGCCCTCCATTATCCCAGTGAGTTGTGGGAAACCGGGGCTGTTTGAGCTGGTGAGGGGAGTCGGGCTGGGGCAGGATGATCCCTGACAGATCCTGCAGCAGCCAGATCTCGCTTTTCCAGGCAGTGCTCACTCACTGACCTYCACCCCCCAGTTTAGTTTGTGGGCATTTCAGGTGGGCCATTGTAGGCTGTGAAGCACTTCCCAGAGCAGTGGCAGTTCCAGGAGGAATGCAGGTCTGGAGTGTCCCAGGAAGGGCACACAACTGGCTCTGGTGCTCCTTCTTCCCCTCCTTCCTGCTGCTTTGGGTTGTGGAGAGCAAAGTCTGGTAGAGCAGTGAGGGGTATGGGAATTCTGTATGCTGGAAGAGTGCACAAGCTTTGTGTGCTGCCTGGTGTGTGTGACTAAACATAAACTGTGGAGGAAAATGTGTTAGAAAATGGGAGAACAACTGCAGGAGAAATCTTTTTGTACGTGGGTCACCCTCTTGCTGAAGGTTTTCTCGCCGTATCCAGGCCTACAATGCTTTCTGTCAGGCCAGCAGCTGTTGTAGCTGCTCTGTYGGTCTGTGCTGGGGAAGGAATCCTCCCTGGCAAGGTGCAGCCCTTGTGGAGCCGGGCTCTGGGCCAGACAGTGCTTGGAAGTGCGCAACAGGCAGTAGGAAATGGCTAAAACCCAGCCCCAGCTGAAGAATTGTGTCCTTGGGGGAAGCATCCAGGAGACACAGAGAGCCTGGACTCGCAGAGCTCAGCCCCCGCACCCATGGCCAGGAGCTGCATTTGCTGAGGGTGAATTCAGGKTAATTTTGTTATCTTTATGGCCTCCTTTCAGTCTCCTGACGTCCAGGTGTGCTGTCCCAGTTTTTCCAGGCAGAGTGGCCTGTCCCAGCCTGGGGGATGGCTGGGGCAGCAGGAAGCCATGAAGGGTTGGTCACTGGGGCTGGCATATGGCTGACCATGYTCAGGAAAGGCCTGGTGAGCACAAGGTGCATTCCTTGGGAAGTGTCCCTCTGTCTGGGTCAGTCTGTGGCCTGCAGGGTGGGTACTCAGCTCTGCCTGCCCTACCACACACAGGTGTTGTAATTTCATTTCTTCTTTCTCTGCAGCGGATCGTTGTAAAGAAGTGCAGCAGATCCGAGAGCAGCAYCCAAACAAAATCCCGGTAAGTGACTGTTCCCACTCCTCTGTGTTAGACTTTGTTCTCAGGACCCCTCTGTGCTCCTGGGTGGCCTCCATGCAGCTTGCAAAACTTTGCTCCCTGGAATCAACACAGGATGGTCCCTGTGAGCCTCTGTGCCTTGTGCGTGCCAGCTGCTCGAGAGCAGGCACGTTCCCTGCAGTGCAAAGGACAGTCTGGCTCTAAAGCTCCCTGCTGCCCTACAGGCAGGGCACTGATTTGAKCTTAAATCTATTTCCAAGCTAGTACAGCAGGAGAAAACTCTGAAATGTGGCTTTTTTTTTTTTTTTGGTTGTAGTAGATCCCTGATTTTTCCTGGATAATTCACTAAGAATTTCTTTCTGCCCAGAGAAAGATGTGTGGGATGATCTGATCTGAGAGTCTCTCTTAGGATGATTCACACCCATTCTGTSCTTTCCCAGCACCTGTGGTTTGCAGGTACATGAGACACCATGAACTTGCAGCTCTTCCTGCCCATGGCACACCTGATAYGCTGAGTTGCTGTTTGGSTGTGAGTGTGCTTTTGAAYTCATACCTGAGAATTTGCTSCTYTTCCTGATGGAGAARCTCAGAGGAACATTCYACCCCTAGAAGTGTTCAAGACTAGGTTGGACGGGGCTTGGAGCAGSAGGGGTCTAGTGGAAGATGTCCCTGCCCACCTTTGAGGTCCCTTCYAAGGCAAACCATTCCAYGATTCWATGAAATTATGTACTTGGACTTAYTCTTTGCAATATCATCACATCTAYGACCAAAAAGACAGCAYTCCTAGCTCAGCTCCCTCTCAGTGCTGGATGAACATCAACCTGCTCTTAAAATTGCAGACGATCATTATTTGGCCTTCAAGACTGAACAACTCAAATTGCTCTTGGCCCATCTTAGTCCACTCCTGCCTCACTCTTGGTTTGGTTTTAGCACAGTGTCTTCTAGCCAAAAGAATTCTTTCTCTTCCTCCTCTCCCATCACAACTGCACTGTTCAGGTGTTTCCAGCTCAGCAGAGCTGCCCCTCACAGCACCCTGGGTACAGTACTGCAGGTCATCWACACATTGCTTGACCTCTGCTGTTAACGTGGTTTTCATGGCATTGGACTGGCTCTGCATTTCTCCAGAGCTGTGGCAGAGCCCTCTGCAGTGCCTGCAGGCTCTGGCAGTAAGGCCAGGCTAGGAATAAGTTGTACATAAAACACACAGTCTTTGTATCAAGTGTTGTACACACACATGTGCATGTATCAAGTGTCTGTACACAAATGYGTGTTGCCTGGGGAATGGACAGGAGGAGCCAGAGCTGTGCATCCACAGCCACAGTTCATGGCATTACTGAGACGTGGTGGGAGAGCTCCCCTGGCTGGAGTGCTCTTTGTGTTGGGGTCGATACCACAATTCGAGTTCTGCTGGAGGGGTAAAAGGAATCAAGAGGGGAGAAGGGTCATGGAGGCCTCATGGGGCTCAGCCRTGTTTGTGTCACTGGTGCCTCTAAATGCCTGGTCCCAGTTTGACCCCAGCACCAGTTTGGTGCTGTCTCTCCTCCCTCCCAAGGCCGAGCTCCTGCAGGTTTCAGTGCTGGGCAGTGGTCAGAGCCTGGTGCAGGAGGTGTRGAGTGGGCACTGTAGTGGGTCCGGGCTCATCGGCTGTAGGGCAGTTTTGGCTGCCTGTGAAGCCTTGTTTCACAGGAGGAAGGCAGGGGCTGGGTTTTCCCAGCTGAGGGACTGGCTTCCCTGGAGAGGAGCTTGGGATCACCAAAGGGGTTTGAGTCCACAGCCCAGGGAGTTATGGAGGTGCAAGGTCACACCCTTAGGCTGGCAAATACCACAGCAAAGCTGAGMGGCACCTGCTGCCCTCGTGCATCTCCAGTTTCCAGGCTGAGCCCTTGGGCGAGTCCCTTCGCTTTGAGAGGGGGCCAGGAGGGTTTGCAGAAGGCATGGCCTGGCTGCGTGCCCAGGGAAGGGCGTTCTCTCCTGTTTCCATGGGTGCCCTTGCAGGGAAAGCTGAGGAAGGGACTGAGCCCCAGGTCCATGTGTGTCTGCGTGGACAGAGGGCTGTGGTGTCTCCAGCCCACCAGAGACAGCCCAGGAGATGACCTGAGCCCTGCCTGAGGCCACGAGTTGTCCCTTTGAAGGGAAGTCACCCCACTGGCACAGGTCATGGGGACACCAGCAGGAGCCAGGCTCTCTGTCTCCCTCAGCCAGGGCTCCTGTGCTGCCTCTGCGTTTCYCAGAGCTGCCTGCTCATGGTGGGACGTGCTGCCCACAGGCAGCTCATGCTGAGCAGGGGAGATGCTTGTGCTGGCAGCAGCTGCTGCTCTCCCTCAGCTTTGTTGGGATGAAATCTCCAGCAGTTCTTCCTTGGGCAGTCAGAKCAAGCAGAGAACTTCAGCCTTCTCATTGGAACCCTCATCCTCAGCATCAATAGATGTTTCAATCTTCTTTTGTCTTGTTAGAGGACAAGGAGTCTGTGCCCCGCCTCTGTCCCTGCCTGTTTTCAGCCCCAGGGATCTTTTTGGAGCTGACTGAGCCCTCAGAGAGTCTRAAATTGCTGGGGAACAGTTTGTGCTGGCAGCAGTGGGAGCAAAGTGTTTCCCRAAGCCCTGCAGTGCCAGATTCAGGCAGGCCTGGTGAGTCCTGGGCTGTGGAGGGGGCGAGTGCAGGGCCACCCCTCGTGCTGGTAGGGCTGAGAGGTGTTTGGGCCATGCAGAGGGGGCTCTGTTGGGTTCATCTGAGCACCCCCAAAGGAGCATGGAGAGGCAGTGGCAGGTGGGAGATCCCAAATAACGCCCTGCCCTGGCACACGGGTGGATGGAAACCCAAATTATGGACTCAGGCGAAGGGACAACCTCTGGGTTCCTGGGAGGGCTGTTCTGGGGACCTGCAGATCCAGCATCCAGGGCTGGCAGAACTCTGGGTGGATGGACAGCAGAGCACCTTTGTGACTGAGGGTTCCTGTGTCTGTTCCCACTAAAGGACCTGCACCTGCTCTGCCAGTGTGGGACAGGATGAGGCTGGTGCAGGCTGTGCTCGTGTGTGAGTGCTATGTGTGTGTGTGTCAATCTCTGTGCCTGGCTGTGGATGTTTGAGGGTGTTACACACACACATTGGAGCCTCTGTGCCTGCTGGGAATGCATTCCAAGCCTCACTCCTGGTTGGACTTTGCTATTGTCAGACCACTACATCTGGCCACATTCCCCACCAAACTCCCTTTCCACCTCTYCAGGCTGGCCCCAGAAGAAAGGTTGTGTTTATAAACCCTGTCCAAGCCCCCTTTGGGGTGGGACCAGGACTGCACGCCCTGCCCTGAGCGTTTCCCCTCCCCACCCRTGCCCACTCATGTGATTCCTGCAGGGATCTGTGGTGGGTTCCCTCTGCAGAGCTGTGTCCCATGCTGAGGAACGCCCTGGCCCAAGGCAGCGGCTTGGAAGAGGACAGGGGATGGGAGGTGGCTGTGCACACCCACCCTGTGGCCACAGGGATGTAACTCTAGYATCTGATCATGCTTTTCCCTCCAGATCTAGACAATAACGTTTTGTCCATTGGCCACCTGTTCCYACAGCTGGGTCACCCAAATAGCAGCTCATGTTCTGGGAACACAAACTCTTGGAGCTGTTCTACATGAGAGGCTCTGTGTCTGCTCGGGGCACAAGGCAGCTGCTGCTTTAAGAGCCAGGGCAGCCATCCCATCCCTATTTGGATTCCTCTAAAGGGTTTTGGGTTTGGGATGGAACTGGTTTGTAATTAGACACTGGCCTCTGATCCTGCTCTTGTGAGAAATGAGGCATCGCCCAGGTGTTGAGGGCCCTCTCTGCAGGTTAAGGTGTGATGCCTAAATCTGGCTAATCTAAAACAGAAGCTGGACAAAATTCAGAGAATCCACAGCAGTTCTGTTATTGCAGGGCCTTCAGGGSCATTCAGGGCAGTCCCAGCCCAGCCAGGGGCTGCACCCACAATGGACAATGGCTCACGGCTTTTTCACCCTTTCTCACTTTTGTCCATTTGCACATCGGGATTTGCTGAATCCTCCAATTGCAGCTGCAGCCAATGCAGTCAAAAACTCCCAACTTGGCTCCCCCAATTCTCTGTTGTTTCCATCTCTTGGGGCCTGGCACAGGGAGGTGTCCTTGAGTTTGGGGCTGCAGAGGAATTGTTTTGTGTAAAAATGGGAGAGCAGGAGCTCAGCACTGTCTGTGGAGTCTGGAGTTAAACACTGAACAATCACAGGGGTACAGAGACATGGAAATAGAGAAACTGAAATCCTGAGGCATCAGGTGGGTGCACAAACAGCTGCTGCATCRCTGTCCTCCATGCCAACCCAAAAGCTGAAGGGCCCAGCGCTGCTCTATGTTCCCCAGTGGCCACAGCTCATCCCTCTGTGTGGCTGTTGTGAGAGTTCAGCCCCTCAAGCCTGTTCCTGTCCCCATGGCCAAAACACTCCCCTGTCTGTGTAAGATTTGAGTTCAATGCAGCAGGGTGGTTCTGCTCATCCTGTCCCCCCTGTGCCCTCCCGGGGGGGATGAAGGGCCACTGCCAGGCTGGTGGGTGATGTCCCAATGCATGCTTTAGTCAGTCGCAGGAAATGGTTCTTTAATCAGATCCTCATCGTGCAGAAGGGGCACTATGTGGTGTTCACATGCTGCCTGCCCATTCCTGGGTGCCCCTCGGGTGGAATTTATCCAGAGGGGGCTCTGCAGAGGCCGTTTTGATGCAGAGCTCCCAGCAAGGCTCCTCACACCCCTCCCTCCCTCCCTTCTCCAGGAGCTGCCTGCAGCCCTGCCAGGTCAGCCCCACACATCCCCAGCCCCCGGTGACTCCGGGGTGTCTGATCTGCCTTTGGGGGAGGCTGGCAGCACTTCCATTGCTGCTGCTGCTGCCACAGGCTGATGTGTCACCAGGGGATCAAAGGAAAGGGAAATCRTGTTCCCAGAGGTTCCCTGGTCCTTATGGCTCCACAGAGCCATCTCCTGGGGATCCTCCTCTCTGCACGCTGCTCCATCCCTCTGCTGCCAAAAGCCATTTGCAGTSTCTCGAGTATCTTTGGAAAAGAATCTGGGAAAATAAATTATGGCAATTCCTTGCCTTATAGTGAAAAAAAATGTTCACTCTCAGGTGGGAGAGGATGATGGGATGACAAGTATCCAAGAGTCTGTAGAGAAGACAACGGGGAGCTGGGAGAGATGTGAGAGAGCATTGCTGTAGTGGGAACATATTAAGCTGTATATTCTTCACTTATTTTCATTTTACTTAAAAGTAGATTCCCTATTTTAACTGCCTGCCACCGTGTTTCTCAGAATACAAAAGGTACCTCTCCAGGCTGGTTTAGAACAGCAATTGTAGCTGTCAGCAAACAGCTTCACAGAAGAAAATCATTAATTATAATAGCAGAAAAATGGATCAGAAATCATCACTCGGCCATTTCAGAATGTAGGGATGGTAAGAGCTTTTCCAGGYGAGGTGTCTGGCAGAGGAGGACAGGCTGGGCTGTCCCTGTGGTGACAACCATGCAGAAGTGCCTGGGAAGCTCAGCACACAGCTGGGGTGGCACATGGGAGGAGTGGCCCTGGTTTCTGATCCTTGCTGGAGTCACTGTGTCTGACTGCTGACAAAAGGGTGAAATCCAAACGCCCCCTCTCTGAAGGAATGGCTTCGTGTGACTTCTGAAAACTGCTTGGGAGTTGCTTGGGAATATCCACAGCTGTTCCTGAGCAGGCAGGGGGAGGCTGAATGGCAGCAGGGAGGGAAGGGAAAGGAAACCGCACCATGAGCTCAGCCTGCAGCTCAGCAAAACCTGTGGGTGTGGTCAGTCTGAAAGTGRTGTTAAAATCCTTCACTGCTCTTCAGATCTCCTGCATGGCAGAGRACAAGAATCTGCATCAGTCCAATGGTGCCCGCTGTTTCTCAGCCAGCCAGAGCACTTGGTGCTTTAGTTGATTGCTTTTGACACTCTTCACAGCCTGGCTCAGGACAGTGACTGATGAAGAGCCACCTGCAGCCAGCCTGGTGGTCACTGCTCATGTCCTTTTCTTGTTTGGTTTCCTGTGAGGATGAAGCAAAGCAGGGCTTTTTGGATGCTATTTCCATGCTATTTGGATTTGTGTTTAGCCTTGGGGCCAGCATGTGGGGCACAATGAACATGGCTAATCTGACCCTTGACTTTCTCCCCAGGTCATCATCGAACGCTACAAAGGGGAGAAACAGCTGCCAGTGCTGGACAAGACCAAGTTCCTTGTCCCAGACCATGTCAACATGAGTGAATTGGTCAAAATAATCCGGTGAGTGGGGCAGCCTCAGCTGGTGTGTTGAGAGCCTGTCCTCAGCCACAGGCTGCTCGCTGCAGGATGGTGGAGTGAGCAGGGATGGGGACGTGACAGCCACAGCGTCCTTGTGCGTGGTACAGGCTGTTGTGGGGGCTGAGGGAGGGCAGGTTCTTAGCACCTGGTGAAGGTCTGGGGTTTCCCCCTCAAGGGGACACTCACAAGAAATGAAGGGGTCCCGTCCCTTCGTTTTCTTTTTGGCTCCAAGGGAAGAGGCCTCTCCAGCAGCACTTGGAGAAAGGGGCTCTGCAGAGTCCTGACTCAGGAGGCCTCGGAGCCTCGAGCAGCTGAGCTGGACTCATGGATACCATGTCCTGAGCGGTGGGAYGAGGTCCTGAGGAGATCCTGGCCCCAAGGGAATAGCCTTGCTGGGGAGGTGGAGCTGTCAGGGCACCCACCCCAGCTGAACTGACCCTGTCCCTGCTGCCCTTGCCCCTGCAGGCGCCGCTTGCAGCTGAACCCCACCCAGGCGTTCTTCCTGCTGGTGAACCAGCACAGCATGGTCAGCGTGTCCACCCCCATCTCAGAGATCTACGAGCAGGAGAAGGACGAGGATGGCTTCCTCTATATGGTCTATGCTTCCCAGGAGACCTTTGGCTTCTGAGGGCTGCTGACAGGCGGCATGTGGAGACAGATGAACTGTGGCACAGAGGCCCCCGGCCTCAGAAGACAACACAGCCAGAGGCTCACAAGAGGAGGGCTGTGCTGACCCCCTTCCCCTCCCTCCCTCCCTCCCCTGCCATCGCCCCGTCACCAAAGAGGCTCGTGGCGCGTGTTGGACTCGCACAACCCTTCCTCTCCTGTCGGTCAGTCCCGCTCCCCCAGCCGCCCACCCCGGTGTGTGACCCCCCCGGCCGTGCAGACCCCGCGGGCCCCTGTCCCCTCCGTGTCCCCGCGCTGCTCTCGCTGTGCTGTGTGTGCTGTGCTGCTCCAGACCGCCCAGCACAGGGACAGCCACCTCTCCCCCAGGCACTSGGAAAGGGCAGGAGCTCTGCAGAAGCAGCGAACAGATGTTACCATTGCTCCCGAGTTTTAATTGATTTTAATTACACCCATATCAGATTCTTGGTGCTACTGAGTAGATGTAGGCGTCTCTGTAGGACTGTGGATAATGTATATCCTTTAGATTTATTTTATTGGTTTGTTTGTTTGGGTTTGTTTGATTTCTTTTTTTTTAGGGATAGATTGGAATGGGGAGAGGGGGGAATCTTTCCTGTATTCTGTAGGTAAATAAATCAGGCTTCATTGCACTTTAAAGCATAGTAGATGTCAGAGTGGAATTTTCTTTTAATTTATACAGGTTTGCCATCTATAGTGCTGCTCCTCTGTTGACAGTTGTACCTAGATTGTCTTGTTTCTTTTTTTTTTTCTAATAAAATTGATTTCCCTTCTCTCTGTCTCCCCATTGCATGCAATTTTTCAGTCTCAGCGTGGCAAGGAGTTCACTGAAGGAATGTACTGATTTATATTTGCTATGTTCCTGTCCATGTTTCTCATGTATTATACCAAAAAAAAATGTATATGATAAAATCCCCCCCAGTTTAATCTATACAAAGGTATATATATATATAAATATATATATAAAATAAACATAAATTCAAGTTGTGTCTTGTAGGAATGCTCTGTTCCCATCTCATTTGTCCGTGTTAATGTCTCTGGTATATCAAGTGTGATGTGTGTTCCCCATGTTCATTGGTGTGTGTGTGCCTGCCCAGGCTTCTGAGCTGATTATTGCAAGCTGTGGAAAAGCAGCCGGTTGGGATCGAGGGGCTGGGACAAAGGGGGAAGATTGGTTTAGAGAASAGAGCACTGGATAGTGACAGGAAACATGGTTGTCCTTGCCCTGCCTGTGTTGAGTCTCTTGTCCTTTGACTAAGCCTCCTTRTCTAATAACAAAAAATTGGGGTGGAGGTGTTTGCAAAGTTTGCTTTTAAGGGAAGCTTTGAGCAGTGCAGGAAATCRTGGCTCATTCTGAGCACTCTGTCAGCCTTGTTCTCCAACCAAAGGCAGGAGCTGACGGTCATTTGGCTGGTCAGTGTCTCCCTGCTCCTYGGCTCACTCTACTTCCTTTGCACTGCCCAGCAGAAAGGGTTTAGACCCTGAAAAAACATGGGGTTGCCTGAGTTGCAGCTGACTGTGTTGTGTCCTACACCTGCAAGGAATCTTCTGTCCAGGAAAGGAGCTGGTGTGAGGGACAGATCCAGCAGAGCCCTGCAGGAAATGCTGGAAGCCAGCTGGGGCACAGCTCCCAGCACAGTGTGGGTGAGAACAGCTGCCCTGCTGCACCTGGAAGTGGAGCAGCCATGGATGTGGCCCCTTGCACCAACCTCATGCAATTCAAACTCCAGTCCCTCAGGGAAGCTCCTCTCCCATCCTCCCTGTGGGATGGTGCTGCAGGTGATGGGGATGTCCATCAGGGCCCCAGGTCAGCCCAGCTGAGGCTTCTCCCTGTGGGAGGAGGCAAAGGAGCAGCTCTGTGCTCCAACAGCTCCAGGTCTGTTCTGTGCTGGGCCCCAGGGCTGGGGCAGCTCTGCAGTTGGGGTTTGCCCTGAGTGGGGCAGAGGGGCAGAACCCCCCTCTCCTGCTGCCCACGCTGAGGGCTCAGAGCAGGACATGGGGGGGTTCTGGGTGCCAGCACACATGGCCAGGACATGGCCAGGACATGGCCAGCTTCTCATCCACCAGCATCCCCATGTCCTTCACTGGGCTGCACTTTTTGCTTTCCATGTGATGTTGTCTTCAAGTTTTGACCACTTCCAGGACGTCTCCTCTTACTCTTTTTCAGGCAGTTCTTTTCTGTTCTTGGTCCCTCCACTCTGCCCTTAGCTTCCAGTGAGTTGTAAAYAAAGGTGAGTAACAACTGGAGTCTCTCCCCAGGGGCACCCAGCAGCCCTGCTCATTCTTACACAGTTGGTTTGTCCATTCAGCTGGGATCTGCATGGCCTGGCTTCCAGTACCTGCAGGTTCTCAAAGGAAATGCTGCTGCCCTGTCCCCTCCTCTCCATGTGAGAAGATGCAAGTGGGCCCTTGCCTTGTCCCCTCCATTGTGCTGCCCTTTCACTTGTGACCTTCAGGAAGTGCTGTGTGTTTTGACACAACCAACAGCTTGGGCATTCTGGTGGTTGATGCCTCTGGGCATTGCTTTAGGCATTGCTTGACCAGTGGATGGTGTTACACGTGCCAGCCTGGCTTCACAGAGTGACCAGAAGTGATGGAGCCASCCAGGCTGACCCAGAGCTGAGCCATGCAGCTTTTGCAGCACAGCCGTGTCACTGATGACAAATGATGGAGCCTTCAGGCAGGAGGAAGCYGAGGTTTCTCTGGTTCAGTGGAACRCAGATGAGCCTGGGACAAGGGCAGGTAGGGCAGAGCACTAGCAAGCAAAGATACAAATGAAATGGTGATCATTTCCCTCATGAGAGGAGAGGGTGAAGACCTGAGGATGAGCATGAAAATTTCAGAGGGCACTTTCAGTYCCCCATCTGCCTCAGCACAGAGCTGCATATCCTGAAGCCTGTTCATCTTTAGGCTGCCCACAGTGGTGCTGTGCAAGAGCCTGGGGTGAATCTGCACTGCACTGGGGCTTTGGTTATGCTGTGGTGATGCTGTGCCTTGTAGCATCACTCAGCTGAGCCTCTGCATGTTACCCTGCACCATCAGCAACTGGAGCCTTGAGATGGTGACATGTCCCCTGGTGGCTGCTGACAGGCTGTGACTGATGCTGGCCAGCRCGGTCCCTTCTTGACAGCCACCAATGCTGCCACCAGGGCCACCTGAGCCCCGTTGTCTCTAGACTGGGCAAGCCAAGCTCCCGCAGCCTCATCTTACAACCTGTGTGCACAAGACCCTCTCCACCTTGCCCCAGACCTGCTTGAGTTTAGCACCAAATTTTTTGTCATGAGGGAGCTACAATTGTAGGCACAGTTRGAAATGTGGTGGGCAAGAGCTGAGCAGGAACCAACACTGCCCTCCATCCACTGGCCACGCTGTGTGCTCAGTTGCCACCATCCTCACTGCCAGGGTACATTCTCCTGTGGCCCTAAGGAAGGCAGCTTAGTGGCTGTTTGTGGGAAATTCCAGGATGAGGAAACCACCAAAGACCAAACGTGGGGCACAGCAGGGCAGGGAGTTCCTTTTGGAAAGGAGTGGCTCCCACTGCCCCCTTTTGGGTGAGCCCTGGCATGGGCTGCTCAAACAGCTCGTATKCACAATTCTGGGTCTCCACCGTTGTGGTTTAACCTCAGCTGRCAACTCAACACCACACAGCCACTCTCTCACCCCCTGCCTCTTCCTCCTTTCTCTGCTGGGGAACAGGAGATTGGGAAAAATAAAAGTAAACTTTACAGGCTGAGATATAAGAACAAAACAAAATAAAAAGGCTTCTCTCAAATCACTGAACTTCCAGGTGGGCATTGGGAGAGCAGAGTTCCTCTCACTACCAGAGTTCAGGTTCATCTGAGAGAACTGACTGGGCACAAGTCTGAAAGGCCTAATGAAGTGCCCCCCAGGATCCTGATGGAACAGGCTGATGGCATTGCCAAGCCCCTCCCAACCTGATTTTAAAACTCACAAAGTCCCTGGGGATTGCAACCAGGGAAATAATTTTCCTGATTTTAAAAAGGGGAGAAAGAAAGACCCTGGGAACTACAAACTTTAGAGCCACACTCTTTGTGCATGGGAAGATCATGGAGCGGACCCTCATGGAAGCAATGTTAAGGCACGTGACAGACAAGGTGACCTGACACAGTGTCTTGATTTGAAAGACAGGTGTCCCCAGGGAAGACAGGAACCTTCCTGGGATGGAAAATATATGACTGCCTTACTACTGAAGGGAAGATGCTTGAACATGTCCAGAGCAGGGCAACAAGGCTTGTGAAGGGCTTGTAACACAAGCCCTATGAAGAACGGCTGAGGGAGCTGGGGTTGTTTAGCCTGGAAAAAAGGAGACTCAGGAGTGACCTTATCTCTCTCTAGAACTGCCTGAAGGGTGGCTGTGGGCAGGCGGGGATTGGTCTCTTCTCCCAGACAACAATGACAGAATGAGAGGACACAGCCTTAAGCTGCGCCAAGAGAAGTTTAGGTTGGATGTTAGAAAATAATTCTTCACTGAAAGTGTGATCGCACAATGGAATTGTGTGCCCAGGGAGATGGTGGAGTCACCATCCCTGGACATGTTTAAAAACAGACTGGAGGTGGCACTCAGTTTAGTTGATGGGGAGGCCATGGTTTAGTTGATGAGGAGATGTTGGGCCATAGACTGGACTTGACGATCTTGAAGGTCTCTTCCAGCCTAGTTCATTCTGTGTGATTCTGTGTCTATGAATTATTGTAAGTTTGAAATTACAGGGCTTTCAGGCAAAGATATAGGATAAGGAATAACAGTTGTTTCCTAATATATGTTATAACATACATACACACATATATATATAAAAAAAAAAAAAAAAAAAACCCAAAAAAAAAGGCAAATAATAACAATTGCAACAACAACAACAAAACCAGAAACCCAACCTCAGCCTTCTCTTGGCCGC